CGGCCGAGCCCAGCAGCTCCCGGCACCCCCTCTGCCCGCGCGCTCGGCTCGGCGCGGAAAGGCAGCAAGGCGCCAAGCAGGGCTAGTCCTGCGCCTGTTCAATCCCGTCCCCCGGCCGCTCCCTGCGCCCGCCTCCTGCCCTAACAGCCCGAGGCCGAGGGCTTCCGCAGCCTCACCTGTCCTGAAGGTGGGACTGCACCGTGTGACTGACGCCAGGCTTCTCCAATCAGGGCACGGCAGGAAGGTGGGACCTGGCAGAGACGGAGCGCGGCTCGCCTCCAATCGGCGCGCAGGAACTCTCCAGCCGCCGTCTGGGCGCCCGGCGGGGAGCGACAGGTGGGAGCTGCGGAAGCTCGGCGGCGCTGCGATCCTTGCGCTGAAAGCCCCCCCAAGTGCAGAGGGGCTCCCACTGCCCACTGTACCATTTCTTGCGCGTCGTCACGACACCCGTCATTTAAATCAGCAGTGGAAATTCCCCAGCCCTTTCCCGTCACCTCAGATGTGGGAGGGATCAACGGGACCCTTCCAGGCCAATTGATCCACGCGACGTCCCGTGACAAAGTGACCGACACCTTACGGCGCCAATGAAGCCTCCCATTGTTAAGGGTCACTGTGACTGACCACAAGGCCAACTAATCCACTGTCAGGTCGTGACGCGATAGTCACAGAGGTTGACCAATAGACAGAGAAACAGACCGGAAGCCTGCGCGTGGGGAGCAGGAGGAGGGCGCTCGCAACCGCCTCGGCCTGCACGGGTCAACTCAGCTTGGGGGCCCCGAGCCAGCGCGCAGCGCGTGACGGAGAGCCTGAGCGACGGGTCACCTTGGCCAATGATCTGCAGCCGCCAAGGCGCCACAGCCAGTGGCGAGTGGGGGGGCGGGAAGCAGCAGGTTAGGCAGTGAGAAGTTAGTGGCGCTGCTGGGACGGGGGGGTGGTGGGGAGGAGAAGCTTCTTCCTCCTGCTGCTCTTCTCGCTCCCGGGATCAGCGGCAGCGGCGGCCGCAAGTGACTCGGCGGTGTCTCGGGCTCCGCGTGCTAGCCATGCTGACCGACGGCGGGGGCGGCGGCACCTCCTTTGAGGAGGACCTGGACTCGGTGACTCCGCGATCCGCCCCGGCTGGGGCCTCGGAGCCGCCTCCGCCGGGAGGGGTCGGGCTGGGGCTCCGCGCCGTGAGACTCTTTGGGGAGGCCGGGCCCGCGGCGGCGCGGGCGCAGGGG